TTTTTTTTTTGACAGAACCGGGGATTGAACTCAGGCCCTTGCACTTGCCAGGCAGGCGCTTATTCTACTGAGCCATCTCCCTGGCCTCCTGAATTTCATTTTTATAACAGTATCTATTTATTCTGCTCCAAATGTATGTTTAGAAATATTTATACTAGGGTTCACTTCAGCAGTACACATACTAAACTTGGAATGGTATGGAGTAGATTAGCACAACCCCTGAGCACAAGTGGCACACAGATTCTCGAAGCGTTGCATACTTTTTGCCATTTTTAACATATGAACAAATGAAAGTTTTGTACAGTAGATACTTTGTTACTAAATTAGTTCTTAAAATTCAAAAAAATCTATACTATTAATATTCTGCTTGGTCTGTCCATGGTTTTTTGTTTTTTCTTTCTGGCAGAACCAGGGATTGAACTCAGGCCCTTGAGCTTGCCAGGGAAGTGCTTATTCTATTGAGCCATCTCCCTGACCCCTGTTTATGTTTTTTAATACATGGAGGATCTGAGTGTTGTGGCACATATATGCAATCCTAGCACCTGGGAGGCTGAGGCAGGAGGACCACTGCAAGTTGAAGGGCACCTAGGCTACATAGTGAGATCAAGGCCGGCCCAAGTTACTAAGTGAGGCCTTGTCTAGAAAAAATATACATGGGGTGGCAGCGAGTCGTCCTTGCTTACACATAACAAAACTACAACAAAGTCTCTTTAAACAGAATGAGACTGTCCACAAACTGGTCACTCCACCCCACCACCAGAAAGGCCTCCTCCCTGAGCCCTTTGAGGCGCATGTTCACTCTTTCCCTAATCAATTTCCTTTTTAAAAGTATTTCTTGACTTGTCTCAATTTTTTCTAGCTAATCAACCCTAAAATCACCATTTCAAGCTTCAAAAGGTATCCTATTTGGGTTTTGATTAGAGTTGTATTAAAAATATAAATTACTTTGAGAAGAACTGACATTTTTATGAGTCATTATTATCCAGGAAATTGGTTAACAAGTCTTCTTTTATGGTCTTCAGTAAATTTTGTAGTTTTATTTATATCATTCCTGTCTATTTCTTGTGATGGTTAGTCTAATATATTTTAAATTATTCATTTCCAAGTCAATCACAGTCTGACTTCCACCTATTAATTTTAATTCTTTTGCTACTGAAAAAAGAGGGAAGGAGAAGCAGTAGAAATTACTTGAAGGACATAGAAGAGGTTTAGTATTAAGTTAATCAGGAAAAAGAGTCAAGACTGTTGTTAGAGATAACTGGGAGCCAGGTATGGCAGCACATACCTGTAATCCCAACACCTGGGAGGCTGAGGCAGGAGGATCACCACCAGTTTGAGGCCAGCTTGAGCTACATGGTGAGTTCAAGCCCAGCCTGGACTATATAGTAAGACCTTGCCGAGAGAGAGAGAGAGAGAGAGAGAGAGAGAGAGAGAGAGAGAGAGAGAGAGAGAGAGACAGACAGAGACAAAGAGAAAGAGAGACTGAGAGACTGAGAGACAGAGAGACTGAGAGACAACGAAAGAGACAGAGACAAAGAGAGTCTTCTCCTCTTTCTCTGCCTCGCCATTGCTTGATTCCCAAAACCTAAGTATGTGGTTTGACACCATCCTGCCATTTCCATTATCCAAAATAAAGACTTTTTCTCATTGGTTCTAGAATAATTGGCCCAGCCTGAGGCATATGTCTACCACTGAGGACAGACAGCTGGACAGGTGTTATGCTATGATTCATACCACCCGAGCTGTGTGCCTCCTCCTGGGACAGGGAGGCAAGTTTGTGCATGAAAAGGAGGAGCTGGGCTGCCAGTACACCGCTTGGTGTCATTCCTGCCTGCTAAATTTGCTTCTGATTGCCTTGTTGCTAACTGAAGTGATTGTTCTCAATTCTTTTTTTTTCTTTTCTTTTTTTGCGGGGGGAACTGGGGATTGAACTCAGGGCCTTGCGCTTGCCAGGCAAGTGCTTATTCTATTGAGCCATCTTCCCGGCCCCCTCTTCTCAATTCTTGTAGTTATTTTATTCTCTGACATCGTTGATGTTCTTGATAACTCCTTAAATCTCTTTTGTTTCAATAACTCGTTTTTCTTATGGTCTTCCCTGTTTTTTACCATTTATATTCTTTTTATTCCCCTGTGTATGATCCTCTCTCCCACCTGCCCTTCTGCAGAAGTGCTTTATGTAGGGCTTCATCTTCAGTCGACCTCGCGTCCCTTTCTACGTACAATATGCTAGACTGCCTCATTTTATCACCATACACTGCTGATTCTCATCCATTCCTGCAGGCTAATTTTCTTTCACCTGAGATTCATCTTATAGTTAGAAGAAATTAGTGCTTTAACTACAAGAGCAAATGGTGCTTTAAATGGTCTTGTGTCCACAGGAGACACTGACTACATAGTGGGCCTTCTAGGGAATGTTGGCTGTGCTGAGGAGTAGACACACTTCTCACTCTTGACACCTCGGGTTTCAGATGCGACATGCTGCTGCTATTGTACTGCATCTCTGCCAGTCGAAAGGCAGAACATAGTCTAGTAATTAGAAAAAATATACTAAGATGGGTATTTGTAAGCTTGGCTCTAAACTTGCTTTGCAACCAAGCCTTTTTATTTTAATTTTATTTTCATATTTATTAATTTTGTGGTATTGAGGATTGAACCCAGGGGCACACTACCACTGAGCTATATATTTAACCCAACCTTTTTTTTGATAGAGTCTCACTAAGTTTTACAGATTGGCCTCAAACTTGCAATCATCCTGCCTCAGCCTCCTAGGTAGCTGCGATTAGAGGACTGTGCCACCATGTGCAACATAACTGAGCCTTTTATGCCTAAGAGTTCCTAATTCATAATTATGATAGGGATACAGTGAGATAATTAATGCATGTGAAAACATTTTATAGTTCACAAATAGTTATATACGGTACATGAAACACGTATTATCGTTGTCTCATCTTGCCTCACTTGCTATTCACAGCCATGACATGGTAGTTAATTATGATGACTACTAATTTGCACCAAGCAAAGTATCATACCTCTCAAAGGGTCCTTAATGAATTCATTAGTCATTTAAATTTAACTTGACACACAATCAACAGCAGTAGTATACAAAACGTGTTTACTTCAGCTGCAAAGCTAGCATCACGTTTGGGGAAAAAATGGAAGCAGTCTCGCTAGTCAGGAGTTGGGTGACAGTATCCTGGAACTGCTGCTCAGCACTACTTCTAAGAAGGTGGCCATCACAGCTAGAAAGAGACGGAAATGAGAAGGATAAAAAGTATGAGGAAAGGCAGTAAAATGACTTTTTTTTTAAGAGAAAAAATAATAGAATCTTAAAAGTCCAGCCCAGTGTCCAAACACCCTTCCCCATTCTTACAGATCAGAAGCATGTGCTTTTAAGATCTGTTATCTGGGAAGGGTCCAGTGACTGCCTTTATTAATAAATTGTTTTTTCCAATTTTTGGTCTGATGTGGAAATAATCTCACCGTTTCACTACTGTATCTCTGCCTCTCTGCATTGGAACCAGCTTACTATGGACTGAAACCTTTTTAAACTGTGAAGTAAAATAAACCCTTCCTCTTTAACTTATGGATGTCAGGTATTTTGTTTCAGCAACAAGAAAGCAAGTCAGGGAGGGAAACTTATTCCTAAATACTGTATGTCACAAAATTCAAAAGTCCTTAAAAAAAAAAAAAAAGAACACATTATACTACATAAAATAAAAATAAAATTCTGCAAAGTAAAAACAAAGACAACAACAAGCTGGGCTTGATGGCACATGCCTGCAACCTATAAGCACACTGAAAGTGAGGTAGGAGGGTCACAAGTTCAAGGACAGCCTGGGCATCTTTGTGAAACACTATAAAAGATGTATAGAGATGGAGAAGAACTTTTTACTTTGTACTCCTTTAAACTTTGTCTTATCATGTGAATGTTTAATCAATTCTAACTGTAAACAAGTTAAATGGTAAAATGCTATCCCCTTTCTTATTTGTATGGTAACATTTATTAGGGAAATAATAAAAATAATTCTGAGGCTGCAACCTTAATTATAATTCTGTTCCGGAGCAAATTATTATTATTATTTTTTTTTTTTTAATGGAATCAGGGATTGAACTCAGACCTTTGCGCTTGCCAGGGAAGTGCTTATTCCACTGAGCCATCTCCCTGGCCCTGGAGCAAATTATTAACTTAGCACTCTCATTAAGTGGCAGTGCAGCAGAAAAGTCTTAGACATCAAGAAGTGGGACAACTAGAAGGTGGAATGGAAGTCACGGGAATGGTATCAGCTTCCCACTTGGGCATTGGGAGCAGCTGAAGCTGGAAATTGGTCATATGTGTGAGGACAGGATAGGGCCTCAGTGCCTAAAGCAGTCAAGCTACCTCCGTCTTGAGAAAGACATTTTCCCTGGACAATTTCAGCTTTAGTTGCTAGGCACCTGATGTCTCATGATGCTAACTTTACAAGACTATAAATAAATGCCCCTACTATTGTCCTTTGGGTCTTTTGCTCATCAGGCAAACAGACCTCCATCTGAACCCAGCTCTGCTCCCTGGTCTAGATTCTCTGCATTTCCTGGGATACACTGAGACACCAATGAGTCCCTACACTTGGGAGACTTGGCACATCACCTGGATTTTTCAAATACCTAACTCTCTACCTTTAAAATTTGTTAAAACAAAATCAGCATCCTAATGAAATGCAAAGTTACCAGCCCACCTCCTGATTATACAGGTTAAGCACTCCACAGCTCTGGGGCGCTCAGGCTTTGGCATCTCTATCAGTATTTCTCAATGCAGTGCACATAAGAAACCGCTGAGGCCCTTCTTCCCAGGTACACTGTGATTCAGTAAGCCTGGGGTAGGAGCTGAGCTTCTGCATTTCTAATACGCTCTCCTCTAAAGTGCCCACATTTTAAATATTCTTGCAGATGTGTCCCATATTTATAGAAGCCAATACGTAGATGAATACGTACTGAATTGTTTAACAAAAATTATAGCACATCACATGCCTTGTTCCACAACTTGGTTTTCTCCCATTTAAAGTCTTAGAAGAGTGATGACAAGCCGCTTAGAGCTCTCACTGATAAACAGCCTGCGGCAGCATGCGTGCCACAGGCCGCACGCAGAGCCTGTTCCAGCCCGGTGCGTGAAACCTCCTTGACGTTCTAAAAGCAAAGCAGTACCGCTGCAGCGTAAGTGTTGCGGCGGGAAGGCAGCGACCCTCCATGCGGTCGGGCCTTTCCTGCTCCTCCCGGCGCTTGCCCAGCAGCAGCAGCAGCAGCAGCAGGCCCGGAGGGTCCGCCCCACCGCTCCTCCGCGAGAAGCCTTGCTGCGCCACACTCTGCTCAAGGAACGACCCGGCTGGTCAGAGCCTGGGGTGGCGCGCCTTCCACGCGGCCGTTCTTAGCATCTGCCTTCAGCTCTGTCTCAGAGCACGTGAAAGCTGGCGGGGCTGTCTGCCTGCAGAATGGGAGAGGCACGTGACGGGAGCTAGTGGTGCGACAGGGAGCGCAGGTGCAGCGTGGCCCCGCGCGCCTTTGGCACTCTAGGGTCAGTGCGCGGCGCTTGGTGGGTGGGGAACGGGGCCGATGCATTTCGGTGTTGTAGCGACGTGTTAATTAATAATGGCGCTGAAGTTGCTGTAGCGGCGATCAGAGGCTCTGACCAGTGACTGAAAGGCGGGTGGGCCGAAGTTTTGAAACCATGTGTGTTAACATTAACATTCTGTTGTTATGCAGAAATAATAGCTGCGAAACTAGAATCTACAGGGAAGAAAATTGAACACACTATGCAGAGTTTGGTTTTATACATGTTACTACTTTTTCAATATGTTAACTTTAGGAGACCTCTGGAATTTTCTTCTTTAATCTAATGGTTATCTTTTGGGCTGATTACTGGTTTCCTTCCTCCCTATGTAATTTGACCAGAGTATCTAAGCTGATTTCCTACTAAGAGTATGGTCTATCACTAAGTAACACGCTAGTAACTGGATTTACAGTGTTTACAAAACAAAGTATATTCTCTTTATTACGGAGCTTTCCACCTGCATAGATATATCAAATACAGCACGAACAAATAAAAAACAAAAAAAGACAACAAGAACAAGAATTACAGACATCTGGGAAGAGGGATTATCTCTGATTTGAGTTAGAAAAATAAAGAAATGTGGCTTTTCCTGTACCTCATAATTACTACAGTGCTAGGGGTCAGGGAGATGGCTCAGTAGAATAAGTGCTTGCCTGGCAAGCACAGGGTCCTGAGCTCAATCCCTGGTACCACAAAAAAAAAAAAAAAAGAATTATTAGAGTATCGAGCAAGAGCAAGTCATACTAGTGACAAAACAAATTATTTGAAGATTCAGCATGACTTAATGTCTAAGTAATCACAAAGCAATGTAACACTCAAGGAGAAATATCAAAACAACACCCAGGATTTATTTATGTCAATGGGCACTGACTGGGGTCACTCCAAGAATACCAAGTCCTGATCTCTGGGGGTCTAGGGCTTATGTGGGATAAACAAGCAGGAAGTGCAGAGGCAGAATGGCTTATCAACTGGGGACTGGTTTGTACAATGTGCAACACGGTAACCTACTATGCATCACAGTGGCCAGCTGTTTCTAAGAGACAGAAGTATCTGGAACTCGAACAGGAACTGTTACTTAGGCAACCAGGAAGCTGAAGTATACTGGCTGTGGGTCGGCGCATTTTCTGTTGCACCACAGTTACATTTATAAAAATTTAAGACTTTGAATATTAAAACACGTGAATTAAATTGGACGTATTTTTACACTAGGGCAAAACTGTTTATCTTGTGAGTTTCTGGTTACTAAAGACACTGGCAGACGAGAAGTAAAGACTTCAGAAATTCAGAAGTACCAAGTCAATCCCTTTTCCGACTGAGGTCCACAAGAAACTAAAATGTGTTGCAGCAAGACTCTCTCTCTGGACAGCACGCTGTTTCCTAAGTGAACTGGAGCAGGAGACCCGGAGTCCACTGCTGGGGATGCAGCTTCCTTGTAATGTGTTGGAATTCACCTGCAAGCACCCTGTATGAGAAACAAAGTGGGCTTTTGTACCAGGAATTGAACTCTGGACCTCACAGTTGCCAGGCAGGTACTGTGCCGCTGAGCTATATCCCTAGCATGTGATTGGATGGGTTACCTATGGCTGGGTAGCCTGGTTTTTTTGTTTTTGTGGGAAGGGTCTATAGGGTGTTCAGGGTCTCACTACTAGATCGGACTCATGATCCCCCTTTTACAGCCTCCCAAGAGCTGGGATTACAGGCACGCGCCACAATGCCCAGTCTCAAACAGGTACTTTTTTTTTTTTGGCAGAACCGGGGATTGGACTCCTGCCCGTGCGCTTGCCAGGCAAGTGTTTATTCTACTAAGCTTTCTCCCCAGCCCCCTAGCCTGGTTCTTGAATAGCTGTCTTCTCTTAATGAGATTTTTTTCTTGTTTTTGAGAATTTTGTTTTCTGCTTGGCTGCATGAACAATGCAGGTCTTATAGCTATATCCTGAGGTGTAAGGACACACATGTGGCCCTGCAGTGCTGGTGCTTTGTGTCCTTGCAAGGAGGCGGAGTCTCCTTTCTTGAATGGATGAGACAAGACCCAGGTTCTGCCAAAGGTAGGCTTGCTGGGATGGTGCCTACTGGAGTCCTCATGGCCAAGCAGCCTCACACTGTGAAAAGTGCAGTTCTTCACAACACTCTACCAAGCATGCATTTTGTGACAGTCTCCTATTCAAAGAGGTCCTGTGGTTTAACTGTGTCCTTAGAAGTTTCATGTGTTGGAAACTTAACTGCAAATTCACACATTAGGGGCTGGTGAGATGGCTCAGTGGTCTAAAGCACCTACTTAGAACAAGCTTAGCAAAGCACAGGGACCGCGGTTCAATCCCCAGCACCACATGCCAGCCAGCCCCGCCCCCTGGTGGGCTAAGGTGGCCACACACACACACACACACACACACATAAAAATTAAAAAAAATTCACACATTAACTGTAGTTAGAGAGGTGGGGACCCTAGGAAGTAATTAGGATTAGATGAAATCATAAAGGTGGGAATCCTTTGGCAGCATTAGTGGCTTTATAAGAAGAGGAGAGACCTGAGCTAGCATGCTTACTGGGTCTCGCATGTGAGACCCTGCGCCATGGCTTGGGCTTCCTAGTCTCCAAAACCATGAGTCAAGGGCTGGTGATGAAGCTCAGTGGCACAGTGCCTGCCTGGCAAGTGTGAGGTCCTGAGTTCAATTCCTGGCATAAATAAATAAAATTTATTTTCTTTATAAATTAGCTGCTGTCAGTTATTCTGTTATAGCAACAGAAACTAGTGTTTAGAAGAAAAAGGCTAAAAACCTAGTTCTTGCTTTAGAGAATCAACAATAAAGCTGTCTTCTATAGAATCCTCCAAACACAGCCCCTCCAACTCCAACTGGCACCCATCGCTGGTAACTACAGAACAGAAAAGGGGAGATGTGGGCAGCAGCTGAAGCTGGAGGCACCTCCCAGGCTCACAGGCCAGCTGTCACAGGGCCAGCCCTAAGCACAGAGACCTGAGCAGGTCACGTGGAGAAGCCATTCTAGGCCCAAGACACGGGTGCCAAGGCAAGCAGCATGGATAAGCTTGCAGGCAGAGGCTTTCCCTTGGCAGCCGAGGGCCCTGCATCCCCTGGGGCCTTCCTCTCCTCCCTCCCTCTCCTTATCCTCCTCCTCCTGTCCTTACTTCTTCAGTCAGGCGAGAGGGCTCCACCTTTCTATTAAAAAACACAAAATGAAAACCTAGTTCTTGCAATAGAGAATAGGATATTAGAAAATGTAAAGGTTTTTATCAAACCAACATAATGACAGTTGTTATTGACAGGTTTTCAAATTTCAGAAAAGACTCGGGGTAAGAATGAAAGCTAGAGTAGCAGCTTACCAGCGATAGGAACGGTGGGACTGAGGCACGGAGCACCAAGGGGACAGGCTGCCTGAGCGACGATGCAGAATCTGGAATGCCTGCTGCAATTCAGCATGAGAGGAAAATAGCAAGAGGTAAAGTTGGAGAGATGGAAGAGGCCACATGACGAGCAGGCCTGTGTGCTATGACAACGAAGTGCACCTTAATTTGTAGGTGACTTGTAGGGGTTGAATTAGGTCCCCAAGTTCCTGAATTGAAATCTTAGCTGCAAGTATTTTAAGCTATAACTGCATTTAGATAATGATGTTTAGAGAGGTGATGCTTTTCTTTTAAGAAGAAATTTGGACACCCCAGGACACCAGGGTTATGTGCACCTAGAGAGCGAAGACAGAGAGAAGGTGGCCATCAGCAAGACAATAAGAGAAGCCTCAGGAGTGACCAGGCCTGCCAGTACCTAGAAAATGAAGATTCATGAGCGTGTACGATGTGTGCCTTACTTGCATAAGGCACTGCTGAAAATATACGCAGATCCATTATGCCTCAGGCTCTCTGAGGACTCAAGCGATGGGGCCACTGCATTCCACGGACATCTGATCTGAGCAGTTCAGTGTGTGTGCTGCGTGGCAGAGGGGCCATCCTCTGCGTTCGACTCTGGGCATGCATTCCTAGTGACAGGCTCGTGTCCGATACGATGGCTAGTATCTGGTTTTGAAACAGAGCCCAAACTGCCCTCAAGCTTACGATTTTCCTGCCCAGCCCCCTGGGGCAGCCAAGACTACAGATGTGTACCGCTGCACTTTCTCCCTCCCGGTGCTCTTAACCATTATGGAAGCTTTCAGAGTGAAATCTAGCATCTCTGCTTTTACAGATTTCTAAGTGTTTCAGCAGGGAGTGCATCAGACACCAACTTGCCAGTGCTCAGTCTCATGGCCTGTCTCCAGCTCTCTCCCTACAGGAGGGCTGCGGGTTCTCCTCCTTGGTCAACACCCCACTTGCCAAAGGCTCAGCTCAGTATCTGAAATGCACTGAGTTTTCTGTTTTAAAATTAATGTACATTCTTCAAGAAAAAAATTCACAGATTGTGGGGAGGACCCTGTTTTTCACTGTAAACGTTTATATTGTCATTATTTTAAAAACACGCAGAATGTGTTGCCAAACTGCAAGCCACACTGATGGACAGAGACGCACTGCCCACCCCGTCAGGGAGTGAAGCAGCTGGCCCTCCCTCTGTGTGGATGCAAACAGCCGCGGGTGGGGAACGTTTGGGGAAACTGCGTCTGCGCCGCACAAGTGCACACTTTTTTCTTATCATCTTCCCTAGATGATAATAGTATAACTATTATATAATATTACGTTGAATTAAGTACTCTAGAGATGATTTAAAGAATATCGGAGGATGTTTGTAAGATACATGCAAATACTACACTATTTTACATAAAGGACGTGAGCAGCCGTGGATGCTGCTGTCTACAGCGGGCGTGGAGCCAATCCGTGCGGGCTCCGGGGCGACGGCAGCGCGCAGCCGTGGGCGATCGCCCCGCAGAGCTTCCAGCTGTCGGAGCCTCGGCTGTGTTGCAGGTGTGAAACCCACCGCGTTAAGGTCGTGCTCCAAGGCAGCTTGCATCTGTGAGTGAGTGAAGCACGGGCCTGCAGGCTGGGACATTTCCATCGTGCAAGGAGCAGCTCTGAAGGCAGCTTCAGCTGCTGAGCTCCCTGCGTGGTTCGCTAGGTTATTTCCTGGGCCTGCACCTGGGCTCCATGCTCTTCCTCTGCCTGATTCTGCTTTCTTCTGCAACCTTCTACAGCGTTTACTCTGAAAAGTCTCAAAAAACTGAAATCCATCAAATCCATGTCCACTTCTGGAGAAGAGAAAAGACATATTCGGTAGCACGGTAAAGATTTCAATGTTATTGATATTATATTAAATGGTGAAACCAAGACATTTACTTTTAAAGGACTAATTTAAGTAACAGAAAATGACTTGTGTCTAATGCTCTAGAATCTGGTATTTAAATGTAACTGTATTTTTATTGTTGTTATTTTGAGATAGGGTCTCACAGTTCAGGCTGGCCTTGAACTCACTTTGTAGCCCAGGCTATCGTTGAACTCCCAGTGATCCTCCCGCCTCAGCCTTGGAGTGCTAAGACTACAGGACTGCAACTTTATTTATTTATTTTAGAGACAGGGTCTCACTCTGCAGTTCAGGCTGATGTAACCTTTTAAAGTAACAGTTCTCCTCCAAAGAAGAAATACAAATAGAAAGATATAATACAAGGAAAGGGAA